CACAGATGCCTTAGAAATATTGCTCACATCTGCTGGGACCACCGGGCAAGTAATAGTGAGGTTAGGCGCACGGTATTAGGGAATGATGGTAAATCAGTTGGTGAAGTTGTGAATCTTCATCGACTGAGATCGTTGGGCCACGTGTTGCGTATGCCTGAACACCGATTACCACGACGCGCAATGCTAACCGGTGTTAGGGATGATTGGAAGAAAGTTAGGAGCGGCCAAACCAAAATGTGGCATCAGTGCCTGAAGTCACTAACTTCTGGTCTGAGCCATGTTGGTAGATGCAGACTACTTGATTGGGGTTCGCGTGACTATCGAAACCAATAGTTGGAGACTTGGTGACATGGCTCAGAATCGATCACAGTGGCGTCTCTGTATACACTCTCTGTCTTCCCCTAAAGTAGAAGATTAAAATCGCTTCATATCTTTCTTTCTAGGAACTAATTCTTTCTTCCTGTACTATATCTTTATATGCAATCTTTCCTTTATATATTACCACCATTGACTTAACCACTCCTATGAATCCGGTGTTAATCTTGTTGTGCTAATGAGGTATGGCAACTTGGACCGATGCATATATGTGCCTGGTCCTACGTTGTGGCTGACTGATTGACTGACTCTTTTTGAATCACATTTTGATCTTGTTAATTATTCACTTATCAACCTTGAATGTTCTTATATGAGTGTATGTTTTGTACACTTCTTATCCCATTCATCACATATCTGTAGCTTATTTTTGTGTGATTGTAAATATTGATTAATGCTTGACTAAATGGAGTTGGCTCACACGCCATCTCCACTGAGTGTCATTTCGCTTCGTCCTTCTGATTGTTTATCTGGATAAATGTGTACAAAATATATGTATTCAAAACTTCATTCTCATATTTAACTTATTTAATTCCATTATAGACTAACGCGATTTGATCGATAATTATATACAAGGGTTGGAGACATGTATATCTTAATAGCAATCAGAAACGATATAACTGAAGTCAGATCTCGGGCTACTAAAGTATAAGTTTATGTATTTTTAAATTGCGAGAGTAGTTTTGTTTTTAATCATATGCATATATGGAAAGGAATACATACTCTTTCTAACCGTCTTTATACTCTGTTGTTCTCATTCGAACATATATCTTAATAAGATGAAAAACGTTCTATTGAAAACTTTTTTAAAGTTATTTTCTTGAAAGTCCTTGTTTTATATACCGAAACCTTACTATAGCTAGCATAACAAACCAGTTACTCTTTCGATGTTCTATATTTCTTTCTTAATTACCTTTATACTCTTTGAATGTATTTTGGTGTTCACAATCGCATAACATTTTCCTAAATAATCCAATATCTTCAAATTATTTAGGTTAGATGTTCTCATTAAAATTAGCCAGAATTGAGTCAGCATTATTTTATGAAATCTTTGGTTTGAGTCTGATTGGTTCGTACCTGTACAATAGATTCACCAATTTAAGTTTTTATTCTAGTGCTAAAATTTATGAAATAATTTTTGTGGTAATTACAAGGAAATAAAATAGGATTCAATGAAGAGGTATTAAGTAAGCTAGTGCATTTGAATAATTCGATGTAGATTTACGATTTTTATGTTTCTGCATACACCAAGGTATACTGGATGTAGTTACTGTTCATTTTTTTTTGAGAGAGACGAATACAAAAAATTAAGAATAACAGAACTTGATTCCACATCATTAATCTTTTTGGGTTGGTTAAGTAATCATAAATATGACCTTAGCATTATTTAGAGGGCACTTCTAAGTCATATGATATTCATTTTCGTACATCCGGGATTTATCACAAACCGGAAAACTATGTTGCGCATAGAAATCTATAGTTAGGCTTTTGAGTTGTTGTTTAGAGATCTTACCGTTTACGAATAGGTTTATAAAAAGGTATGATAATTAAATACATTACCTTGAGGACCATCATGGTAATAGTTGAGATTATTTGCATATGTTGTGGAAATGAAACTATTTCCTCAATTTCTATGTCTCAAAAGTATCATATTCAAAATTTCAATATTAGTTCAACTTTTACTGTATACTGTAGAGGCTAACTTCCCCTATGTCTGACTCCAATAAATAGTATCCCGTTAAGTGAGTATTTAATGCAGGCTAAATCTCCTAGTAGAATCATGGATTTACTCGAGATTATTCAAAAGCCTGAACACCAGTTATAGAGATAGTTTATTGTTCAGGATTGGTAAAATCCACAAGCGCATACAGGGAAACCAAGAGTGAGTGTGTGTGTTGAAAATCCACATATATTTTATGTTTATTAATCAAGTATGGACAAATTATTGGTTTTGATTGAGATCATGAACCGATTGATGTTAGACCATCATTGAAAACCTGGAAGCACCGGACGACCGTTTCGTCCTCAGGAGTGCACATCCACGACCCCGCTCGCGGGATTCGAACCCAGGACCTTCAGTCTTGCACACGAACGCTTAACCTACTCGACCACTGAGTCGGCATTCAACGGTGTTAATGTCTAACTTCAACCAATCCATGAAGTTGCGTGACAATCTTCCATTGTAATGAGGTAGACACCTGTTTCTACCCGACACGGATTAGCTCCACTGGTCACGACTTCTGACCAGAACTCCGAAAATTTTCTCATGAAGCCAGTCAATAGTGAGCACATTTTAATTATCAATTTAGGTGTTGTGAAGATTGTCAAGTTTTGATTGAGATAATTTTAGATGCCGGCTCAGTGGTCGAGTGGGTTAAGCATTCGCGCGCAAGACTGAAAGCCATGGGTTCGAACCCCGCGAGCGGGATCGTGGATGCGCACTGCTGAGGAGTACCCCAGTAGGACGAAACGGCCGTCCAGTGCTTCCAGGTTTTCAATGGTGGTCTAACATCAATCGGTTCATGATCTCAATCAAAACGTGACAATCTCCACGACACCTAAATTGAAAATTATTGATTATCAGTGTATTACAACCAATGGGAGAATAAAATAAAAATTGACAGAAAATTACATGGTGGATCAAGTGTCTAAATTATAGTGAGTAGATAAATAAAACAATAATGGAATGGGCTTACTACAATACATAACCCTATTTAATCTAAGACAAGATGTTAAACTTCTTATCATAAAAGGATTTATTTTGATAAAATCAATCATTATTATCCTTTGGAGAATATTTCCCATTATCGGTCTTCCTGTTTCTATATTTGGACAACAATATTACTATTATTCATTACATTCTACGTTTTATTTAGTTCAACAACTTCAGAAACTTTATTTGGATTGGGGTAAATATGGAATTTTTCAAGAAATTTTCTTTTAAAAACATTTAATTTGTTCGACAGTGAAATATTTACTGTTTAGATTATTATTTAATATGCTTATAAGAAAAAGGATTTCATGAGATAGTAATGTCACTGTAATGTCGCTGGGAATGACCTTGAAAACATTAATGTTTTTAATCATTGAAAGATCTTTAAAAATAGACAGTATAAAATAATGGCGAGACTGTAATTTATGGATGAGCCAATCTGAAGCGTTTTAGAGATGTCAAGGTTACGGCGCCAACTTCAGTGCTTATTGATGATGTAAGATGGGTTCACAAGGAATTTTGTACAAAACGTGATAATTGAGCGGCTATAACAAACAAAACGGCGAGACTATAATTTGTGGACGAATCAATCAGGTATACGATAACAGATCTCGGATTTTAACGCAAAAGCCTTTCATCCATTTAGCTAAATAGATTCCTGGCATTATAGCTGATGTCAGTTCGTGATGAAAACCCCACATATACATCCTAACTAATGCAAAATATGGCAATTATTGCGAACTGGATAGTAAAAGCGCCACTAACACTGGCTGCAGCCACGTACTACAATATATACGGATGTTTGGCGAGCGTACAGACTCCTACCTACGCTTGGTTATGTGCATCGTGTCGTTACCCACAAGTAGCATTTTGTGTACTCAACAATCGGAATGCACATAAACAACTTTGAAATTATGTGGTCGAGGCTGAAAGAGGATTCGAGACTTTATTATGAATCCAGAGGCCGACTATTCTGTAGCCGTGTGAATGATTTACTCTGCCGCATGCATTACGATTTTAGAACCTTTGAACCTCTTTCTAACTTTGAAAAGTTTTTGAATCATATATAAGAAGTGTATCCACTTTATTTCCTTGGTTTTGTATAATATATTTTTACTCTATACTTACTGTTTGCTGATTGACTAATATTCTCAAGGTCACTTAAGATTCGTTCGTAGGTCGTCTATAAATTAGAGTCTTGCCGAAGGAGTTTCGGGAAGATTTTAGTAATTTCAATAGTTGAGATCATGAGTCAATTGAAACTAGACCATCATGAAAAACCTGGAATCACTGGACGGTCATTTCGTTCTATTGTGAGACTCCTCAACAGTGAAATAACCAGTGGGGTTCAACCATGTCTGTTGTGAGATAGTAACTCACTGATGACAATGATGGATGTGTTGCTCAATTTTGTGGATTAGTTGAAGTTAGACATTAACACCGTTGGATGCTGGCTCAATCGTCTAGTGGTTAAGTGCTCGCGCGCGAGACCAGTAGGTCCTGGGTTCGAATCTCGTGAGACGGGGTCATGGATGTTCACTATTAAGAAGTCCCACAATAGGACGAAACGGCCGTCCAGTGCTTCCATGTATTACATGGTGGTCTAGCTTCACTTGACTCATGATCTTAACCATTGAAATTAACATTTCTGTTTTTCTTGTTGTCTTGGATTGAACATCAACTCTAGGATGTAAGAATATTCAGCTGATGAGTCCCAAATAAAATGAAATACTCGTCCTGGATTCCGCTACTAGCTACCGTCTATCTTTACTGAATAGATGCTTTTTTTCTCTTTTATCTGATTACTTGAAAATATTTCATTTTATTTATGTATGTGATAGATTGTTTAAGAATATATTTTGATTCCTAACTTTTTAATAATTATTAGATTTAATCGAAATAAAATAACCATTTCATGGTACAACTTTATTATTATGAAAATCGTGGAATACCTTGTAGTCATTTATTACGTAATGGCATGAAAAAAATTATAGTTCAATTGGAAGCATGTGAAAATTGGCCGTATCCAAGTTCTGAATCAAAATGGTTATTAATATTTAATCGATTTCTAAGAAATTGGTGTAAAGTCATTCAAGTAAACTAGAATTATTTTTATTTGAATATTAAATATCAAAAGTGCAATAGTGTTTATTTGTTCATATTTGATTAATTATATATTTTTATTTGTAGTATGTGAACCAATTTTAGTAATAAAGTTCAAATGTGTCAGGTATTATGCCGTTACCTTCAAATTGTTTGGAAGATATGTGATGTTGTGAATTGATTGAAATTAGACATGTACATCACTAAATGATAGTTCAACAGTTTAGAGGCTAATAATATTCTGTGGGACAGTAGTTACTGAGTTTGATCCTTGATAGGGTTATGAGTATACACTTCTAAGGAGTCTCGTGCTAAGTAGAAATAGCTGTCCAGTGCCTCTTAGTCCATAATGGATGTTTGACTTAGATCATTTTGAGATATAACCAACATGGAAAACAAATGATTTCATACAAACTACAGGACACAAACCAAAAGACCGACGAAAACGTGTAAAACATTAGTCAACGTACAATATCATGGAAGAATCCGGGTGATAAAAGGGTAGTAATGAGATATAGGACAACTTTTCAATGTTGTTTCACTCAATGCGTAAATTTGACACGTGGATTATAATTGTTGAGCTTAGTGTTGGGTAAAAGCTTATTGGGTAAGAATGCAAATACTTACATAATCTAGATCTATAACTTACTGGCGAGCTTAAGGGACGTTTTATACCTCGTTTTAACCAATGAATGAATAGATGGTGAGAATCAAATATCGTTATATAAAGACCATTAAATATTAAGTTGATGGCTACCTTATGGGAACTCATCATTCTTTGATACTTTACAATATATATGCACATATATTAAGAAAAAACGAGGTTTTTGTTTGAGTTCTTTTTTAGATCATAATTACTATGTTCAGACTTCCCGAAAGTTTCTAGGATTTATATTACAAAGTAAAGATTTAGGAATCGTACAAATAAAATTTTTGATCGTTTCCCGATATTTTTAGGATATTAGAATTCATATGATTCATTGAATAAATCATAATATATTATTAGGAGTTCACTTTGAATATGCTTAACATGGATAAATTTATAATACATTGTTTTAAATAAAATTCATACTAAAAGGAACAAACACTTTCTATAACTTAAATTCCATGCTATATCACACAATTCACTTGATTTGTATGTGCGCTGTGAGACTACCCGGGTGCCCAGACCGAAGTAGGTGGTTTTCTTAGGGGGGCACACATAAAGATATTTGTTAATAAGTTTTTATCGTCTTAATTACTCATTATTAGTGTAATCTAACAAAAATATTTAATTATCATTTAGTGAGTCTGATCACGGAACTAGACTTTCAGTTAGAATTTACAAAACAGAGTTCATAATATAGATACAAATCATATAGCATGATTTATTAAAGATCATGTGCTTTAATCGGGTCGGTCGATACGGAGTATCTATCTAGGGGAGTCGCAAAACCATGATTTCAAACCAGTCATTCACATGGGTTTCGGGATTCTGCGGAAACAAATGGTGCATGAACATATTGTTGATCACTGGCTACCATGGGACTGCATCTCCTGACGTTGATCCACTGCTGTGGATCAGATCTTTATGTCGAAGGTTTCGGGTGTGGTCACCTAAGAATACCACCTGCTTCGGTTTGGGCACCCAGGCATTATTACAGCCCTCGCACTAATCAAATGAGATTTGTGTGGCGCATATGTATTTGGTGCCTCTTTGTACCAATATTTGTATCGAAATAAATGAATACTAAGAAGTAAACAACATCTGATGATATCAGTAAAGGTCAGAGTAAATAATGACTGTTATTTCTTTCGAAAACGTTATTATTTCTATATAACCATTTTCATAAAACAAAATTTTTAGTTCTATTAACTCAAAGGTACTAATTTACAACATTAATTGAACAATAAGCTAAAGATGAATGATGACAACAACTTTCATAGTATTAGATTACATCTTGTACTCATAAATCTAACTGATTATTATTCTCTATTTTTCCCTCATGTGACATCAGTAGCCGTTGTTATGCAAAAGTGGAATTAGTCAACCAATTAAAAGTGATTAATAAATAAAGTTCATCATCTTTAATAACACTAAGTTATTCAAATCACCTAGTGTGCTGTTGTGAAACCATCTAAAAATCAGAAGTGATTAAATACTTATCATAATCTAATTAATTAATAAATCATTCTTAATTATTTCACCTCTGTACTATAGATGACCAATGGAGGAACAAAGAGATATGAAACTATTGGACATGTTACATTTACTAAATTAGAAAGTTCAATGTTTGTCACTGGAAAATTCAAAAAAGATTCAGCTGGTAAACAACAAAAGATGCCACATTTTTGTTTATTTTTAACTACAAGTATAATAGATGCTGATTTTTATCATGGTTATCTATTAACTGGAATGATAGAAAGAGGTAATCGAAAATTGGGCATTTGGGAATCAACACATTACGCTTATGTCAAACGTGAAGGTTACTAACGAATAATTTGTTTGATTGTTAATATTCTAACTGTAAATCTTTTTTTGTTTTTTTTTTGTTTTTAACCTAAAGTCATTGTACGCGAATTTATTTCACATTGTCTATTCATAAAAATAATCGAAACTTATTAAATTTTTATGTATTTTACATAAGACTAGTCTAAAATCTATAGAGAGTACACTTTTTTAACACAGTGTAGTTATGACTGTTAAAAAACTATCTATTTCTTTAATGATTTTGGTTTTGATTATTACCTTGAAGAAGTCTGGACAAGTTAGCTGGACGAAACATTGGGATGATTTAAATATCAATCGCTGAGATTATTTCAAATATAATTTTCACATATAATGACTTCTCTATACTCGGCGCCCTATTTCTGTCAAACTATTCGTTCTAATCTTGACGAATATTCGTATAGAGTACACTATAGATTATACTCTTGATAGCATTCATAAGTATTCATTTAAATTTTTCTAAAATTAATGATATTCTTCTAGTTTAAATAATATTATTATATAAAAGTATGAAACAAATTGTTTTAGTTGTATATCTGGGCATATATTTTTGGATTAATGATGTCCTGAATCCGGGTTTCATAATATCTAATATAATTATAATATACATATCCAGGATTTTAGATAAGCTGAAATGTTTCAATTCCTCTTAGGGTTTTCATCATAACATGAGATTAGATATACTCATATGTTTATATGTTTAGTATCGATTGTTCTGACCTAAGTTTTCATATCTTTAGAAAACAATACAGTATCTTTCAAATACACAGACATTATCAACATTAAGCTTGATATAGATTTGAGTTAGTTCAGGTTGGTACAGGATAACTAGTATACCGAGAGGAAAATAACAAAACGAATAGAAAATTCGTCGAAATAATATAAAAGTAATGATAATAAAAAGACTAAACACTGGGAATGTAATTCCAAAAGATGGATGGTAAGGTGAGTATAAAGGAATACTGAAATTCAAGATTTAGAGGATGAATTTGACCAATTTTGACTTATTCTGAGCCATGTTACTCAATAATTACAATTTTAACTTAATTCATCTAGTATTCAATGCATGACCATTTTCTTGTTTAGATAAATAAAATAAATATTATATTGTAAATTAAGTATTCCAAGAACACAAATTAAATAAAATTAAATATATGCTAGATATATGTAAAAAGCCTTACATATCTGGACAGCATCATTGATGAACACGGTGGATCTGATGCAGATGTGAAGGCATGGATCGGAAAAGCAACAGCAGCATGTCTACAACTGAAGAACATCTGCAACTCAAAACAACTGTCTGTCAACCAACACCAAGGTCAGAATCTTCAATACAAATGTCAAGACATTTCTACTGTATGGGGCGGAATCCTGGAGAACTACGAAGGCCATCATCCAGAAGATACAAGTGTTTATTAACAATTGTCTACACAAAATACTTCGGATCCGTTGGCTAGACGCTATCAGCAACAACCTACTGTGGGAAAGAACAAACCAGATCCCAGTGGAGGAAGAAATCAGGAAGAAGCACTTGAAGTGGATAGGACAAACATTGAGGAAAGCACCGAACTGTGTCACAAGACAAGCCATCACATGGAATCCTCAAGGCCAAATGAGGAGAAGAGGAAGATCAAAGAACACATTAGGCCGAGAAATGGAGACAGACATGAGAAAAATGAACAAGAATTGGATGGAACTAGAAAAGAGGGTCCATGACAGATTGTGTTGGAGAATGCTGGACGGCGGCCTATGCTCCACTGAGAGTAACAGGCGTAAGTAAATAAATTAGTAGCTACGTAACCTAATCAAGGTTGAAATAAACTTACTTAAATGGTACATACTCTTATGAACTGGATATTTGTGCATTTGACACAAATACATTAGATTCTTTTGTGGGCTGGCCTTAAAAGATACTTCAATGGATATATATATATATATATATATATATATATATATATATATATATATATATATTCAGTATTTTATTTGAACAGAAACACAGTACAGAAATAATAAGACATTAACGTTTTCTATTACTACACTTAAATAAATGAGAAATTGTGAAATAATCTAGAAAAAAAGAACATTCTGTAAGTTAGAATAGAGATGTATGAATACATGTATTTAATAAAATTATATATATATATATATATATATATATATATATATATATATATATATATATATATATATATATGATTATTTATAAAGTGTATGCTTTTAGTTAGTAAGTTGAAATATTGAATTAGGTAAAATCTCCAACTAAAGCAGGATGTTCTGAATTATCTGGTCGCCAACGTTCACGAATACGTCTGAGTTTATCTGGTTCTTCAAATTCAGGAAAACCAAAATTATCTAATAAATCCATAAAGTATACTTGATGTGTAACCTATAATATTAATAATAATAATAATAATCGTAATGTCATCATCAATAATAAAATTAACGGAAAAAACAAATAATAATACAAATGTCTAATCCATTTGAAAAATTAAATAGAAAAAAACATTTTTCAATTGTGAAATCAATAAAATAAATCTAAGTTTATGTAACGAATTTTCCCTTTGATAAACTTAAATAAACCAGAGTTTAATGATGGATATATGGGATTTGTTTGCTTTAATTCTGATAGATTTGTAAAAAGATAAAATATTTGATTGGTTTATAATTTTAATAATTATGGCTATATATATATTTAAATTAAAGGATGATATACCTTTCAGTGTATAGGATATTTTTGATTGAGGTCATGAACGGATTGATGTTAGACCATCATTGAAAACCTGGAAGCACTGGACAGCCATTTCTTCCTATTGTGGGACTCCTTAGCAGTGCGCATCCACGATCCCGCTCGCGGGATTCGAACCCAGGACCTTCAGTCTCGCACCCGGACGCTTAACCTACTGGACCAATGATCCAGCCGACATCCAATGACGTTAATGTCTAACCTCAACCAATCCGCGAAATCGCGCGACAATCTTCCATTGTACTGAGTTACATACCTATCTCTACCTGACACGGATTAGCTCCACTGCTCACAGCTTTTCACTAGAACTCCGAGAATGTTCTCACGAAGCTATTCACTAGTGAGCACATGGTAATTATCAGTTTAGTGGTTGTGGAGATTGCTAAGTTTGGATTGAGATCACGAACAGATGCTGAGAAGTTTCACAATAGGACGAAACGGTTGTCCAGTGCGTCCAGGTTTTCAATGGTGGTCGAACATCAATCAGTCCATGAACGAAATCAAAACTTAACAATCTCCACAAGCCCTAAACTGATTAGTACAGAATAATATTTAAAAAGCGTAATACAGAATTTCTTTTAATTTTTTGATTAATTTACTTTTTAATTTGATCATCTTCAAACACATTCACTTTAGATTAATGAATTTCACTTCATGTATCTAACAGATACTACCATACTTTTTATAATTGTTCAATAGTAATCAATTATCAATTAACTTACCTCTGTAGTTTTATACTTCTTAGAGTCAATCTGATAAGTTAAGTTTCTAAGTTCTATAGTAAAAAGCTTTCATTAAAAACATTTTAACAATTTATTAAATAAGACTATAAAAGTCTAAGTATTGTATCTAATCGTATTCGAGTATAATGATCAAATGTTTTAATGCATTGAGTTGAATAACAATCAACCTTTCAGAAATTAACTATTGTTGTGACTTTATGTCCGGCTTCCGACACGTGACTTATCCACCAATCAAAATACGACTTACACAACTCTTCACACTATGACAAAACAAATGACATTCGACCGGTATGAGAAGTCTACCGTCCTTATTTGGTCCTATGTCTTTTTAGCCCGTTCACTTGAGTTCAGAACACTAATATCAGCTTCCACTATGCGAATCGAATCAAATCACATATTTCAAATATACTGTGTTTATATAAAGAACAAACAGACCTCAACGCACCATAAAATAAAAAATAACATCTGTACACAATAAAGCCAAAAAGTGGCTGTGAACGTGGGAGACAGTAATCAATTAACTGAACGTAGCTTAAGAACAGTAAATCGTACAATAATAAATTATAGATCAAAACAAAGCTTATAACAAGGGGAATATAGACATACATAATCTAATTATTGAATAGTTATACAATAAGAATATTTATAGAATAATAGGCCATTAATAGTCTTCGGAAGTTTCTCGTAATTTATTCTTGACTAGGATATAACAACTATGTTTTCATTTCAATGAAGAAATAATTTAATAAAACACTTGGAAAATATACCAATACAAAAGAAAGTATAGTATGTATCACAATAATGTTATTTATTATTTGCTGTTATATGTGGTCTTCTACTTTGGTGACATAAATCAAACAAACAAATTAATCCTTGAATTAATGGGTAGGAATGTAAGAAAATATTTTTAAAAAAATAATCAAGTATTAGTATCTGTGACAAATTTATTGTACTAATTAATGAGCACTGCTGAAGAGTCCCACAATAGGACGAAACGGTTGTCCAGTGCTTCCAAGTTTTTAATGGTGATCTCACATCAATCAATTCATGATATCAATCCAAAACTTAATAATACAAGGTTTTTTATTATATTTATTAAAAATCTACACAATAAATAGTATATTAAATCTGTCACCATATAAATATGATATGTATTCAGTCATAGCAATTGGTGAACTATAGAACAAATATTTTATTTCATATTTTCAAGCACTTGAGTACATTTAATCTATGATGTTATAACTGAAATGTAAACCTATCATCTTACAGGATAGCTACTTAAGTGATATCTATTCGATTAAAAATTTGTAGGTAGCTAATTACGTTTATTGACGTATTGTATACACATATGCCAATAAGAGACTGATCAATCGCAGTCCAAAATATCAATGGGAAGATACAAGCCAAACAATACCAAGTGAATTTAAATTCACTCCATTGCACAAGCAAGTGGCTATCAGGACTCAGTAGCTGAGTGAATAACGCGATGGTGTTTG